GATTTGTAGAAGCTTTCGAGAAACCAGCCAGGCTTGAAACCGTAGTATCGTAGTTAAAGTATGCATACAGTTTATTCCCCTATTAGCTTCTATGAGATGATGAGATGTACAGTATAATGACTAAACTCACGTGGTTCGGTGGAGGATGTGATCAGCTGATTGTCGGTAGACGATAGCTACCTGAGACTTGAGCAATATTTTTTTGGCAACAAAATTTTGCAGTATTCGTCGTTAAGTGACTGGGTTCTGTATGATATAAAGAAAAATTGACCTTTGAAGGCCAATTCTTGTAATAAAAGTTCAGTCTTGATTATATCGTAGTTTAACCGAAAATTGAAACGGTAATCAACTAGTCCTAGTAATACGTTACTATTTTACTACGAAAATTGAGATCGAAAGTTGATCGGAACTGAATTGTGACCGAATGTTTATTACTTGAATTTGCCTTCTGTTTATTTATATGTAATCAGAATAAACATTTGGTTTGTATTATCGTTACAGGAAAAGTGTATGTTACAGTCAGAACTCTTAAGCGGTCAAAACTCAAAAGTATTTATGAGCGCAACATCATACTGTTATAAACTCTTCTAACCCAAATGATTCACCAACAATTGAAGGGACGGCTTCGGCGGCCGCTGAATAATGAAGTGACGTGTCAGTGTTTTTCATCAACTAAAACAATATAGAATATTCTATTCTATGGTTCTTTTTTAAGATAAATTACTCCTTTAAATTATTTATCGACTTTAAAACAAGAAGGTTCTCAATCCAGCTGTATTTATACTTTTTTTGTTACGTGGTAACTTCGCCATTAGTGAAGGGATTTTAATATACATTTTCTATTTGGATTGATTGGACGTATAGTGACGGATTAAGAATACAGAGTGTCACCACTCCCATTCATCCCGTGGGTGTCGTAATAGCCGACTAGTAAAACTTGACGCAAACCCTATACCAACCCGTCTGGCAAGCGTGGTGTAATAGGCCAAAACCTCCTTTCTAAGGAGAGGCCTATGTCCAGCAGTAGACTACTAAAGACTGTTGATGATGATGAGGGTATATTCTACACACATTGAAATAAGAACTATATATTTTTTTTTTCACACCTTACGTTTAATAAATTCCTGTGCAAATAAAAAAAAACAAACACAAGAGATCCATTATCGGGCATTTAGATATGTATCTAAACGCCGAGTTGGAATGTACCAACTCGACTAATGTAACTTAGGGTCACCCTATAGAATGCAACTTCATTTGTAACATGGACAAGTTGCAGACCTTGCAAAAAAAAGGACATAAAAGATTATGTCCTTTTTTAAGAACCCGATTAAAAGGAGAAATCATTCTATTGTATATCCTATCAAGTTATGTGGTCCCCATAATTACAACAATCAAACCTACAAAACACTGTAGACAAATGTGCTTTCAAGTTTATTTTGTTTTACCACTGACCCCTAAATAAACTGCGGCCGAAAAGGACTTCTATTTCCTACTCCATAAAGTCGACATCCATTAACACACCTACGTCCATTTTGCGATAAACACAATGAGCTTGACGCACGTGCAACGAACGGAATTTAAAAAAAAGCGCACACAGGTATTCAATTTTACAGCTGACTATCAGCTGTTAGCATTATCAAAGACAAAATCGACTTTATATCAATGGTCATAGATATCAATTTAGAGTGCAGTAGTGAATTTTTTATTTTGCAAGTAGCCTGTACATAGTTGTAGAAGCATATTAAAATGTGTATGTACTCCTTTGTTCAAATGATGTAGTTTTTTAAGTCTATTATACAAAAATCGGTGTTTGTTTGTTCATACTTTTTATTCTGTCGTATCGTTTAAATGATCTTCATAAGATTTTAAACAAATTTACCTTAGGATACTTAAAAGACATAGAGTTTACATAAACAGAAAAGTACGTTTGGAGAGGGATGGTATCCTTTACGGCGAGGGAAGTTGAGGGGAAAGGTTAGTAGTTTATAAATACAAACAATCAAGATATGAAACATAATAAAAATTAAATATGAGGGAAATGAAATATGTATAAAGAATCTATTGTTTTAAATTAGGCTTGAGAAGCTACAAGCATTACAGTGTAGTATGGTGGTGGGGTCGTTAATTTTATTAATACTAACTGATATTAAGATGAATTCTAAATTCTGGATCATCATCATCATCAGCCTATCGCAGCCCACTGGACATAGGCCTCTCCCATTGCACGCCACTTAGATCGATTTTGGGCTTAACTCTGCATGGTTATTATTAACTTTTTAAAACCTCTGTGGCATAGTAAGACTTTGTAAAACCTTTACATAGATGTGGCTTAATACTAGCAACACAATTTTTACTATTGTAGCTGTAACAAATGAGGAAACCACACCATCTATGTGTAGGTGTCCCTATTTCTGGAGGGGGGGGGGGTAAAAGGGGGACCTTTTTTTTTATAATGTTGGAGAGCCTTGCCTTGGCATATTTGGGCTGTCTTGTCTGGGCCTCACAGGAAACTTTCTTTTGTTGCTTTGCACCGAGTTTGTGTGGTTGAGGGAGCCCAAGCCCCTATTTCTGGAGGGAGGGGGTGTGGCAACTTGTGGCACACCCCTCTAAGTATTACTCTCCCATGGTCAATTACCACTGACATTACGATAATCACACTTTAATGTATCGTAGAATGAAGTTGAGTAAATTAAAAGAAACTTAGTATTCAGAAGGTTCACATATAATATTTGATATTTATGTTAATTTTATTAACAATTATAATAAAGTAATTATAATGAGTATTAATTTAAAATATAAAAAACTAATGGTGTCATAATAATGACAAAAAAAAACATTTTATTACACAATAACATATTAAAAATTTAGATATTTATTTATTTATTTATTTATTTAACTTAATGCACTAGTTGTACAAAGGCGGACTTAATGCCCAAGGCATTCTCTGCCAGGTGACCTATGTATGATATAGATATGATATTATTATTAATATTATTATTTTATTATATATCTAGATATGTGATATATAATAAAATAACACAACAATCATTCATGGTGTGTAATAAGACTCATTCCCGTTTTATGTATAATAAAAAAAGAGATATTGTTCTGAATAAGCTCAATCATTTTAATTTACCTATAATTGGGTATTTTATATTTATATAATTGCTTTTTAGCTTCATTGTGAAACAGTTCTCTTTTCAAATAATCTAAAAATTATAAGTAATATGATTTTAATTGAGTCAAAACTAAATTAAAATTAAAGGCAATGTGTTTTATAATATTGAATGAAAAATCGGGATATGCGTAAATAAAATGTTTGTAAACAAAGCAAAAGCACAATGCATTGAGTACTGATTAAATACGGTTACTGATAATATAAAACGAGATAACATTACACCATTCAAAAATAGAGGTTAGAAGTGGTAAACATTAGTTTTATTCCAATTAGAATCTAATTAGAACATACTGGCGCGTATTTAGAGTACAAATTATCGTCACTTACCCGGTACAGAGCTGCCTGTCTGACCCATTTCAGGTAATTCTTCAAACCGCTGGTTAAACACTAAATTTCACAGATTATTACAATGTTTATACAATAATTCCGCCCATTTAACACATTTAGGGACTATTATTATTACCTAATACACACACTTGACCTATGAACTACTTGCGATCATGTTTACTAATTTTATTTAATTAAAATAATATTGCTGATAATCCGCACACAAGTTAAAATTAATTAATTGAATTGTATTACGCTAATTTAGGACATAAATTTGTTTTGGATTATTTTTTATACTTTATAATTAAAATTGCACGTGGTTTTATATAATTATTTTAGTTAAAACAAAATATTTTTATTCATTAAAACATTACTATTCACTACGATAACTTTGACATGTATGTTGCGATAAAAGTCCTTGGTCGGATATTAGTGTGCAAAAATATTTTTGCAATAACAGTGGAAAAATTGGCTCATTTAAAACATTTGTTTTATAATTTCTAAAATATTTTTTAAATAACATTTATGTAGATAGTCAAGTTTTATTGGTAAATATATAGCTTTGGTTAGTTTTCTTATAGATATACTAAATACTTCTGGAGTAGCACATTCCTTAAATATCATAGATGTATCCAAAACAAGATTGAAGATGTCATTCAACTTTGAAAACAAATTAAAAAAAATGACTCCACTCTTTGAATAATTAAGATTTTCCTTGGGACTACATTATACTCGTATGCTCAGATCAAATAAAAAAGTTAGGATGGAACTTTGCGAAAAACGATGTAGCGCCGGTTATATAAAAATGTTTGATTGGGCCCCGGTGCTGCCATCATAATTTTATTTTGTTAAAAATATTAGTATCTACGCTTACTTATATGTGAAATGCGCCTCCACCCTACTATCTATCTCTTGTAATTTGATTTTTACACCCTTTCAAAACACACTTCAGCATTTTTACTTGTAAAAGTATTGTTGACTGACAATGCGTAGTTTGGTTGTACGTGTGTACGTATAATAATGTAGGTACACGCTAAGGCGTAGTTTTGAATGGATTCACCTCTTTGTTGACAGAGTTCAGAGTTCATCTTAACTTTTTTATTTGATCTAAGCTTGCATGAGAACATTTAGATTATCATACACTCATTCTTTATGACTGAAAATCATTATTCTAATCTAATACACTACACATCATCGTAAATTCGTAATTTACTACTCAAAAAAAAATCTGTACCTAAATGTGTAGAGCTAACGCTGTGATCTCTCTACTTTTCAAAGTTTTTTGTATTTATTTTTTATGTTGAAAAATAAATTAATCAGGTGAAACTTACCCAAAAAAAAAAACAGTTACGCCAATAAAATATTCTTAGCAGCAACACTATCTATCACTAATGTCAGTGATGTCAATTTAAAAAAACATAGATGCCTGTTTTGATTTGAAAAAGCCGTTGTGTTACTTGTTTGAAACGAGTTGATTTTATCAATTTATCATAAAATGTCTAATAACAATCCTATAAATGACAAAAAGAAGGCCTTGTTGGCTTACAAGGAGAAGCTTTTTGAGGAGATGCAGTATTATGATAAGAGAATTGAGGAGTTTCGAACAAATCACAGAAATAAATGTTACTATGATGATTCAGACAGGTGAACTATTCCATTAGCTTTATAAAATACAGTTGAAGTCGCTTATCTTTATCACTAAGGACGGCAACGCGTTTGTGTCTCCTGACGTTCATGGGCAGCGATCGTCACTTTCCATCAGGTGACCCGTCTGCTCGTCTGGCCCCACTAACATAAAAAAAACATATTTAAGATGATAAATTATTAATAAATTAATTCACTAAATTTGCAGTTCAGAAGCTGAAGACTATTTTCCTAACATGGTGGACACTGGCCCTGAAGTCCCACAGCTGAAGGCAGAGCAATCATTGCTTAAAACTTGTCTGCAAGCTACACAAGAACTTACAAACCTGACTGTTTTGCAATCTGAAATCAATGTGTTAGTGCAGGATCCTCAGTTGGATGGGTAAGTTTAAACTGCAGACTACTATCCTAACTTTATTCTAGTATTGCAAATCTAAACTTGTATACTAATATTATAAAGCTGAACCGTTATTTTGTTTGGTTGAACACCCTAATCTCACTGACGTGTTTAACTCAAAAATGTGTTAAAAACAAAAAAATAAGCTACTGCTTCAAATTGAACAATTCTTTTAGTGTTGGATAGCCCATTTATTACGATAGGCTATTTACGCTACCACCAAAAGGAGCTGAGCACCAATGAAAGATGTTGCTAAAGTTGAAGGCACCTGCTGTCGCCACCCCGCTTGCTACTATGTTGAGTGTTGTGGGTTCGATCCCCACATGGGACGACATTTTGTGTAATCCACGAATTGTTGACAGGATATATTTCTAGTGTGGGAGATGTCTTTTAAGAAAAAAAACATATATTTTTTTATTTCTTTTAAGATATACAGATGAAGTTGTGTGAGTGAGCTAGCATGTAAATGAGTTCATGAAATATTAATAAAACCCTTTTAATTAAACCCTTTTTTAATTTTAATTTAATAAGCTAAATGGAATATATTGACATTGATTCCAAATAGTCAAATAGTAATTATTTAGCATTTGTTCCCCGGTTTTGCCCCCCCCAATGTGTCAATATTTGGTGCCAATCAAACCACTATGTTATGTCTGCTATGAGTATCACCAATTTTTTTGTTTACAGTGAGAAGCCAGTAACAGAACCTGGCACTTGGCAGGAAGTAACAGCTGAATGCAGAATAGACTTAGTCCCGTTTACTATTGTGTTTTATATGCATACTCCGGTAAGTGTCTAAATGTGAACACCTAACGTACTTAAGCCTTCAGATGACCAGAATTCAGTTCCGATCTACTCTCACTTTTACTCTGTTATAAAATATAATCTCGTTAAGTAATAAAGTTTCACTAAAACTAGAATACTGATTTGACTTTCGGTCACAATATAATCACATTGCCGTCAATATTGGATGTTTAGTACTTTACTGTGAAAAAAGCTGTTATGACAGTGAGATCGATAGAAGATTGGATCTGAACTTTGAACGTAGTTTAATTCGAGAATTGACCTGATGTTTTCTTTAACTAAAAATTCATTTAAATATGTACTTAATTTTTTTTCACATTGTTATATTTATTTGTTTTATCTTGAATTTTAATTAATACTAAATCTTTAATTCCATGCTAATATCATAAATGCGAGAGTTTGTTTGTCTATTCACGCTTAAACAGCTGAACCTATTTCGATGAAATTTGGCGCAGAGATAGTTTGGTACCCGGGAAAGGACATAGGATAGTTTTTATCCCAGAAATCATCATTTGAGGGGGTGACAAGGGTATGGAAGATTGTATGGGGAATCAATAACTTTGATTCTTGAAGAAGGACATGTTACTGTTAACCGCAATAGCTAGTGCATTATGTTTTTGAGCATCTGACATTATGTAATGTATGTAATGAATTCATAAAAAAATTAATTCCAGAACCGCAAATTCGGTTCAACATCGTACCGTGGGCTACAGTTATCTCTGGTGAAGAAGTCACATGAGGTGGAACTCAACAATTCCGTGTTACATACACTAAGAAGACCAAGTGATGCAGTTGAAGTGAGTATTCTTACTGTTTAAATTGAAATTTGAGCGACTGAGGATTTATATATTTCATTAAATTTATGTAAGTTTTGTGTATGTATGTGTTATTTTGTGTATGTCTCTGGACTTAAATTATGTTAAATTTAATATTTTATTTTGCACCTACCGCTTAAATTTTTACATCACCTGAAGGTTGACTGGGAGAGAATGCCTAAGTTAAATTCTAACGATTTTGTTTCATATCCTAGGTCTCAAACCATAACTTAAATTTTTACTACAGTCAAAATAATGACGCATCGATCAAGCCCCGCCTGACCAATCAATTTCCAAGTTTTCGTACGAAACGATAATTTCTTGAAACTTCGATGCGTCACTATTTTCTTAACGCGAATAAACTATAAAAACATATTTCTTTCCTTCACTTCTTCAATTAATTTACGTCTGTAAAATTTACTTAAAAAAACTACAAAGAAATCCTTTCAAGTTAAGATTGTTTTTGACTATGCTTCAGGTGATTCGAAGCTATGCTGTCGGTTACCGTTCCAGACGTACAACCCTAGCTCGGCTAGCTAACAAATATGCCAGTTCACTGTTTATGGAACCACATGTAAGTATCATATAATTAGATGTTTATATCACTTTAATAGTCCACTGCTGGATATAGGCCTCTCCTTAGAAAGGAGGTTTTGGCCTACTATACCACGCTGGACAGACAGGTTGGTATAGGGTATGTTTTCCTTCTACCTGAAATACTGTTGTCCTGCATAGTTTGCTCCGTAAGTCGGCTCTTACGACACCCACGGGATGAATAGGTGTGGTGACACTCCGTATTCTTAATACGTCACCACACAGATAATGGGGAATTACTTACAGAATACTGCTTGCTATCCAGTATTCTGTATACTATGTATGTAATACTTTGATCTGCAGTTTTTTATAACACTGTCAAGTTTTGTGACCATATTATTTATACCACGTGGGTACGCGTAACATACTACTGTTGTTTCGTCTCGGACGTGTTTTATACAGCTTGAAGTCATCGCTACCGTTCTGTTGCTATCAATAACAATGCCTTCTCTTGAACTGGTAGCATTTTACACTCCAATAATAGCCGGTCATAGTTAGTGTTTTTAGTTCTTTGGTGTTTTTGTCTACTAACAGCTTCATATAAGGTGTATTTATAGTGATTTTATTTTATCTAAGTAAGTATTAAATGTTCGGCCATAGCTAGAGTCAGTCCATAAGAAAATATTAAATCCACTAACGCAGTAGATGGTGTACAAAGTATCCAGAATGTTGCGAAGGCGGTGGAATTTTACTAGGATTGCCTTTAGTTTATTGCATAAAGTCCTTATGCGTATATTCCACGAGAAGTTAGAATCAACTAGTCCTAGGTACCTGTAATCCTCCACCCCCTTGCTCCACCTCAATGCTTGCGCACGCGCATGACTGTTTCTTTTCATGCATTTAGCCACGCCTTTGAGATAACGGGAGCGAATGTGTATACGTTTTGTTCATATTTATAAAAATGGCGTTATCGTGTGACCATTTTATTATATAAAAAAAAATCTTTCTTTATTTATTATATTGAGGTCCTCATCTATGTATACTAAACAAATATCATCTTCGTACATGTAGATGCGATAGTTGTAGGTATTGTAAGTATGGGTGTTGTATTTATTATTGATAAATATAATAATAATGTCACATAATGTCTTAGACACTGCTGTCTGATTTCTAATTAAGCTAACCAGAGGTTACTAACAATCGAACCCGAACCGAATTTATTGATCTTAATTGCTGTCCCCCCCCATCCCCTGGCTGTCACTCAGATCAATAACCAGTGAACCGACAAGCCTGTCATAAAGAATGAACATTGTCAATAGTGCTGAAAATCCAAAAAAGCTACCTTTTAATAAATACTGTAGTTAATTTTATTTAGATTCGTAATTTTTAACCTGGCGATAACTGGTTTTGATTGATATAAACAAATTTCTCATTACAGCCAGAAGGTGGTTTCGTACTGAAGTGTTCGAATCTTCTCGAGATCCTGTGGCGACTGGAGAATAAATGGTCACCCGTTGCTCCCTTCCATCATAGAATGAAGTTTGACTTAGAGTATATGGGTAAGTTGAAAATACATATATTGTGGAAAGAAACAGGTTGTTGAAAAGCTGTGACATGATCATTACTGAAAAAGAGTAAAAATATAAACTGCACAAAATAATATTTTCCTTAGTTCCATTCACGTCCCGTTAGCCGGGCGAAGAAGTAACATCACAGAGGTTTGCTGAAAATATCTGGACGATGGATGTAGACACTTCACCAAACCCCCATATTCTGCAGATATTCGCACTGTTCTATGATTCTAAAAAAAATAGTAAAAATAACTTGAGACAAATAACACAGGGCCAGCTTTTTCCAAGCTAGGCCAACTCTGTGCACTGTGGTAATCTGATTGTTGATAAACATACTTAAATATAACCAAACAAATACAAATTATTAACATGATAGAAATGATAGTGCTCATCAAACAAATATTTGTCCTGGGAGGGAGTTGAACTCATTATGGTTTAGTTCTGAAGTTTTAAGATTTAGTCTTTTTAATTGTTACACTAAATCCATATGTGCGTCTAATATGTTTTATGTTTCAGATGAATCCTACATAAAAACAATAACTCAAGCTCACAAACAGCTATTAGATCCCGCGATACAAACAGACGAGCGAACTCTACTATTATCTAAAATAATCAATACTTGTCTAGAGGCTAGAGGTCCCGTGGACTCTGAGTCCGACTTAGAGTCTAAACAGACTGATGCACTAACGGAAACGGACCCGAAGGATAGGGATAGTGAAGTTATGGCACCACCTAAAAGTTTACCCAAGAAAACTAAGAAAATAACGTCGAAAGATAAAAAAATAAGTGAAGATGCACTTAAAGAGAAAACTACTCCACAGAAAAGAAGTATGGCAGATGATAGTGGGGGAGCTAAAGCTAAAAAAGTTAAAACAACGGAAAACAGCAATGGTGAAGCCAAAAAACTTGCCAAAAGCAATGAAAAAAGTGGAGAGAAAAAAAATGATGACACTAAGAAAAAAGATAACAAAAGTAATGGTGAGAATGAAGGGGTTAAAAAAAACTCCAATGAAAACGTAGATACTGCAAAAAATATGAAAAATAGTGATAAAAGTAAACAGATTAACAAAAAAATAATCAAAAAACATCACACAGAAGTAATTTCTAAAATAAGTGTTGATAGTGGTAACGAAAATAATAAAAATACTGCAAACATAGCTAAGAAAAAGAAAAATAATGAAAATGTTCCAGAAGTAACAAAGAATAATAAAAAAGATAAAAAAGAATTGAAGAAAACAAAGAGTAATGAAGAATTAAAAAGAAATAATGTCCGAACTGGGGAATCAGAGCCGAAAAAAATTAAAAGCTCTTCTGATATTAACAAAACTGATACACAAAATTTTGATGATAAAGCTGATAATGTAACTAACAAACCAAAAAACAAAATTCGCGTAGAAAAAAACAGTAAAGAAAAGAAAAATGATGATATTGAATATAAAGAATCAGAAACTTTTGAAGCTACTAAAACTGCAAAAGGAAAACCTAAAAATAACAAAAACAACGAACAACTAGCTAAGAAAATCGACAGAAAAGTTAAAATGTCTATAGCTAATGATAAAAAGTTTGACCAAATCACTAAAAAGATATCTGGCGACATTAGAAACAAAAATCTTGACAATATGACCAAAAATATAGAAAATAATTCTACAAAAACTGTTAGTAATTCGAAAAACGTTAAAGTAAATACAAAAATGGAAGCTGGACAGGGAAGTACTAATAATACCAAGAAAAAAACTATTAATGTTCCAAAGACGACAGAATCTCAAAATAATAATGAAAAGGAGCCGAAGTCAACTGAAACCGTGAAGAATAAAAGTTCCGGTAACACCAAAGATATTCAAACAGTCAAAACATTTACTGAGAAAAATGCTATTAATATTAAAAATACGGAAAAGATTATCAATGTTAACAAAGTGGTTACTCAGAAAATTGTTAAAGACAAACCTACAACAATATTTAATAAACCCGAGAACATTGTAATTAGTACCAGTACACCTAAAAATAACATGAAACTTTCAAAAATTACAACCAAAAGTGTAAGAAATATTATTCACAAGTCCCCCAAGCCCAAGAATTCAATTAAAATTCAAAATTCTCAAAAAAGTATCAAAACCAAAATTTCCAATGGCAACACACAAGTGTTTTCTGGCAACTCGGAAAATGAAAATGGCGGTAAAACATCAAAGATTCCACAGAAAAAAATGTCGTTCAATAGCGAAAAGATATTGAAGACGAATATTCTCAGAATAAGTCCAAGTAAGTACTTGTAAATATTAAGTTGCATTTTTAGCGGTAGTCACTTAACATCAGGTAATCCGTGTGCTCCTTTGACCCCTTTACCATAAAAATATCTTCGGTTTTGTGTATAGTGATTAAATATGGATGAAAATTGTTGGGGCTTCAGAAGTACTATGAAGGAACGAGCTAACGCGGCGTGAATAAAAATCGGTTTAGCCGTTTCGGAGGAGTACGACCACAAACACCGTGACACAAGATATGTTTTTTTTTCTTTTTGTACACATTTTATGCCCAAGAATGTCACAATAAATAAATTTATTATTATTATTATTTTCAGGAAGATTACCGTCGAAGTTCAAACCTATCACTCAAGATGCAAATCTTAAGCAGCTCACTAAAACCACAAATATTCCAAGTAAGTTCTTTTTAAAGATTTATATCGCTACATATTATAGATAAATTACAGGCAAACCTATGATCATACTCATCACATAATATTTGTCTTGGTGGGAATCGAATTCACATCCTCTATCTTAAATCACTATTCACTAGACTTAAGAGGTCAGGTTACAATTTCTATATTCTATATTCTTTATTTTTTCAGGGTTCATTAAGAAAACGGCTCCAAAAGTCTCAAAATAATTAGTATTATTAGTTTTAATCTGTACAGTAATAAGTATCAAGATAAACGTGTCCAAGACATTGTATACCCACGCTGCGCCGGCGCATCTCTAAACTTTGTTTCGAGGCCGAGAACATGGGTATTATTTACTAAAAATTAGTAAATAAGAAATGTAATTTTTTTTAGATAAAAACGTTTGATAAAGAACTCAGATATACATCTCGTAGTACGAGAATGTGGGACTAGTTTTGAACCTGATGGGGTTCAAGGAGAGAAGTTTCCTGTCGAGACGGTGTTTTTGGAACTTGCAGGCATTGACCTACACTCTATTACAGTACTTGTTAACAGGAAAACTGCAACACAACGCAACAAAAACGACCACCAGCGACTCCAATGCAATTGTACTTACGCAGTCGTGACTATATGTCACTATTTGATAAAGAACTTATCTGAAAATAACGAGGCATCCCCGTAATACATTCTACAAGTTTTTGTAGGTACATACTTTGTTTATTTCTAATTATTATTTGTGATTTATTAAACAACTTCAAAAATAAATCATTTTCAAAAAAAAGGTTTAACTAACTTCAAACAATACCAACAAAGAACACTAAAAACCTAGCTGTAATCGCGGTTAGTTTGCTGTCATTTTTTGAATAGTTCCGTTGTCTCTCTTTGAAACTCATTATTAGATCTATATGAAATCTAAATGGGACCATTTCGGAATAAACCCCTTTCAAACAAAAGTCGCCTATATATGCCCGAACCATAAAAAATATATATAAACATCCCAATTGCTAACCTCCTCCTTTTTAAAGTCGGTTCATCATCAACAGCCTTTAATAGTCCATTGCCTCTCCTTAGAAAGGAGGTTTTGGCCTACTATACATCGCTGGCCAGACGGGTTGGTATAGGGTTTGTGTCAAGTTTTGCTTCTCTTTGCAGTGCTGCTGTCCTGCGTAGTTGCTCCCTTAGTCGGCTCTTACGACACCCACGGGATGAATTGGGGTGGTGACAATGTGTATTCTTAATCCGTCACCAACGTCAAGCAACAAAATATATAAAAAAAATCTGCATACGTTCTAATGTTAACCAAATTACATAAATGACTGTCGCTTAAAAAAGAAGATTCTGAATTTTATTGTAATTTTTGTTTGTTTGTTAGCTCAGGATTCCGTCGGTTATGAACCGATTAATGTGTAGATTCATTCCGAGAGTGTAGTCTGATATGAACTTGAAAAAAAATTACAAGTGCTGATTGTTTTGTGTATGTTATGCAATATCTTCGTTTTTGTGTACCGATTTCAATAAATTTGTATTGGGTTCGGTCGTCCCCAAGGTTGGTCCCATCACTTAAAAAATATTTCATGTCTGAGGGTGAAAAATGAAGAGATGAAGGTACAGGTATTATAATTAATCGTGATTTAATTTATTTCATAACAAAATACATATGTGTTGATATATAAGTAATCAGGCATTAAAATTTTTTTTTAATCAAAAACAGTTTGAATTTAGGCTCATTTATTTGATTTTTTAACTGATTCCTCGCAGTTTTCAATTCGGAGAACTACCTCACTTATGAACCGATTTCGTTTTTTTTTGGAGAGCTACATCCCGTTGGGCCCATTCCAATTTAAAAAAATATATGATCCATCTTTTCAAGAAAAATGGTCGTATTTTGTTTGCGGAAAATTAAGATTTCAAGAATACAGTTTATTACAATTCATTGTTCTATTATGTGCATTGAAGTCAGTTTTTTTAAATAAATTATTTGGTAGTAATGTAAATATAAATAAGAATATCAAAAAATGTTCCATCAGTGAAATGATTCAGTCCGGTTTAGCTTAAGTTAGTATAGTAATCATGTTTTCGATCATTATTGTTAAGAATGAGATTGTAAAATAAAAATGTATTTTTTATTTCTGTGTTTTTTTATGGTATTATAGTGGCAATAATGTTAGGGCGGCGAGTAAAGGGACCACATGATGGTAAGTTGACCGGCAATGCACACATTCAACTCTAGATGTTAAAATAAAAACTGGCCATTGCTTTCGGTTAGCTCGTAATATCGGCATTAGTTACTTCTGATTACATTAAAATCACACAAATTACAATAAACGAATGTAAATCTGCAAAATAAACACAATACATCATAACGTATATTGATTTCAGTAGTAAATTTTGAAATGGCTAAGTTCGGTAAAACAGTATTTTCGTAGAGCACCATCTATTTCATTTTAGTGAACTATTTGTCAGCGGCGTTTTATTTTAGTTTTCATGAGTTATCGCTTGATGTCGCTACTGTGCATGAGAGGGGTGAAATGTGTAAGGCAAGGCGTTTGGTTGGATCTCTTCTGCAGAACTTGTTGACTCCATTTTGCTCCATTTTAATTTAATCGTTTGATTGTTTGGTGTGTTATTTGGTTTTTAATTTCAGCAGGTAATTATTAGTTAAGTCTGTAGTTGTGGAGTATTTTCTAGATCTTACTTAAACAATAATGATTTATCTTTATTGGTTTATGTTGTGCGTGACTGAGTAAGCAACGGTATTTCAAGTTTTTTCTCTGTCAGATTACAAAGTGATTAAATTTTTCTATTTTCTATGTTTATAAAACGAAAAAACTGTGATTTAGTGACTGTTTTTCTTATTGTTAGTGTATTGGACGTGTTTTATGTGTCGCATATCAGTCTCGTTGCGGTGCATAGCTGTTGTTGATTGCTCTTGTATCTCTAAATAATGTTACTGTGCTCTTGTATCTTATAAATAGATACTAACCTTTCCATCAAGTTCCGTTGACTAGGTTTTAATTAATGTGTCGCCGTTAGATGCGGCTTCTTCATATAAGACTTTTTAGAAGTACAATTTTTTTGTTGTTTAATATTCTGTGAATTTATTTTTGTAATTGTTGTGAATTTATAGGTCAATGGATTTTCGAGTGTCTTGTTTTTCGTTCTTCTATAATAACAAAACATAAACATTTATAAATAATACATTTTTTGTAACAAATGTAGAAATACATACAAAAAAAACATTTTTTGAAGTCGGTTAAAAGTTCAGAAATTGATTGTTAAATGTGAAAATAAAAATAATTTAAAATCTAACTTTTATATCTGTTGCTTGAAATAAGTAAATGATAAAATAACAATGAACTAAGTATACGTATCTTCCTAATCAATTAGAAAAAAATACATATTTTTCATCAAGTTTTATACACACAAATCTCAGAACTCAATTGTTTGAAATTATTTGAAAAAAATAGGGCAATAATTGAAATCAATGTCAAAAGGAAATGAGAATCAAATGGAAGAAATGCAATGTAAATAATAAAAAAAAATACACTTTAGATAAATTGACGAAAAGCCTTGATGTATCTTATCTTTGATCGATTTTACAAGTTAAAAAGTAAAATTTAATACATGTTCATGTTATTTGAATAAAATAAATGATGAATCATAAATTGTACCTAAAGAATCAAAGCAAGAAAAATTTAAATTCGAAATGTCAGATAAATATTTATTTTACAATTCAAAGGAAAAGGCCTCACAGGAAACCAGTGTTAAGCAATTCTTTCGGTGCCTTTCACTGAGTGAGTGAGGTTACCGGAGCCCAAATCCACCCTCCCGCTGACTCGAGCGGGAGGGACTCTAAGGGCGGCAACGCACTTGTGACTTTTGAGTTGCGGCGGCGGTGGTTGCTTGCCATCAGGTGACCCGTCTGCTCGTTTGCCCCCTTATACCATAAAAAAAATATATAAAGAGGATCAAAAGAAAATAAAATATGAAAAAATATTTTATAATAATAATAATTTAAAACAATTGTAATTATCTAAAACAAAAATAAATTGGAAATATGTGATTACCAAAATAAGACAATAGAAATAATTAAAAAGAAACAGTGAATTAAAAATAATAGAATTGGTATAAGTTTTGTAATCAATGGTGGGCTTTAAATTAGTGTTTGAGTATAATGTTCAAGGACGTGAAGTGATATATAAACAATTAACTTTTTAAAATATTATCAGTCATTACAATTATTTTTCATTCCTTAATTTTTACCCTTAGGGGTGGATTTATTTCTTCCATTTGACAACCAAATAGGAAATTTTGCAAATTCTTTCATAAAGGCGAAGTTCTGAGGTAAAAAAAAAAAAAAAAAAATCGAAAATCATATTTTTTGGAGTCGGTTAAAACTATCAGTATTTCATAATACATTACCAGCGTTGGTGGCATCATTCAGAGTAGGTAGGTATTGAAAATTCTGTTCCAGTCTCTTTGTCGTTTTGCTTCTTTCTCTTTCATTGTAAATGCTGGCTCTCAATCCGTGAAAATGATATATATAACAAATAATATGTTTTCACAATAAAAAGTGCTACGCTGACGACCATTTTTGTCGTCGAGTAGGGTGCCTGAGACCGGCCCTCGGGGTGGTTTTTAGTAGAAACACCACATACTCCTGGCTCCTGCGTATCCTATTAGCCAGAGATCCAAAGAGATTTTCCACCCCGCCAAAACAAAGAAACAAAAAAAAAACGACGACTGCACGACAGTACTACACAATTTCCATAAAACTTATTTCACATTTTTAAACAATACAAATTGCAACCCCGCGCCCTAAATTTTAAATATGCGCAACGTTTTAAATATGCCTTGTCATTCGAGCCGTGGCGACATGGCTCTCAGGACATGTTTAACTTTTTTATTTTTACCATTATTTTAAGATAAACCTGTGAGAGAGGTATCTGTGTACTCTTGTAGATTAGATAGAGTTTTTATTTGTTGTGTTCTTCTGTTTAATCGGTACTGATAGAAATCTAAAAAGGAAATGGCATCTTCCGAAAGCAGGTTGTAATTTTTTTCGCTAGTTGATCTAAACATAAGCTCAAAAAATAAGGACATTAAAATAAAAAAACAAACAAAAACGTATTGAAATTAAAAATAAAAACAAGAAAAGAGTAATAATCATTGAACGAATTTACAAAGCAATAGATTGGAAAAAATGACTATTGATCGATATGCGTATTTAATTAATAGTTTTTTTCAATAGTTTGTAATTTTTACTAATCAGACACACATGTATAAGATACTTCTAGAAGACTATTTCGTGAAGGAAGTAACTAAAGACTAATAATCGCGCAAGATCTTCGATCAACTGTTGATCGAAGCGCAAGATGCTTAAAGTATTAATGTTTCTGAACAAGGGCAAATGTTTGTGCGATTTTCCCAGGCGCTAGATTTTTATGGTATGGGTTTTGAGTTGCAGGTATTCATAGGCGGCGGTGGACACTTTCCTTTAGGTGACCCGTCCGCTCGTCTCTGCCCCCTCTTACATAGAAAAAACCTTTATAGGATTAATTTGTTGTCTCTTTATCTATCTGTAAAGAGATTTCTTCACAAGAACGTGATTATGAGTTAGTGTATGTAAAAGGTAATGACAATGTCGCCGTCACGTTTATTATTATTAAACTGCACAAAGGCGAAATACGCTTAGAGGATCCTTTACCAGTACATCTGAATCTTGGGATTACGAATTTCACATGTCTCTGCAAGTCTTATAAATACGACTTTGATGTCTAATTTCACCATTTTTTTTACAATTTGTTTCATTAATGACATCCAAATTTCCCTGTTACTTGCATTTGCAACTCCTGATTTGCAGTTGTCCATGGTATTCAGTTACCACCAGACGACCCACCTGTTCGTTTGCCCTCTGTACCATAAACAAATCTTAATTCTATTCCCTCAAAATCAGCTTGCATTAATTTTTCCTTATGTTTGTAAATGTTGAAAAACACTCGTTGCGCTTTGTAATATTTTGGTAAATCCGTTAGGATTAGGTTTGTTGAACCTGATCTTTTTTAATAAGGATAAATAAGATGCTGAGCCTTTGCAAACACCAGGGCGCTCAAGATTGAGCTGGACGGGATTTGCCTACTACTCTTACTTAAGTCTTACTTAATTTTTTTACTTGAGAGGACACCAAGTTAGTCAGCAAATCAGAAGCCTAAAGTAAAACGAACATATTCGTCATTCGTGAATGTAATGGCTCAAATTTTTGTGTCATGGTCAGATAAATCTGTGCACTAACGGTTCACAATTTGACCACCACAAAATTCCCAAAAACATCAATATTGTTATTTACGAGTTTTAATTTTTCTAATATTTCTTTTGCCTCCGTCTTGGTTTTTGCACACCATTAAAGTAATCGATTCTTCTTCAATTAGAATTTAGTCTCCTCCATTGGAGGTAGTTGTCGTGGGAGAGCCATTCCTCATCACAAATGAGTCAGCTCGACTGGAGTGATACCACGGTTTCACTGGAAACCGGTGTTCTTTAATTCTTTCGTTGTTTTTCATCGAGTGAGTGAGGATACTGGCGCCCAAACCCCACCGCGCCCTCATACTGGAAGGGGGTCGCAAAGGGTTTGCAAGTGTCACTTTTTTTATACAAGAATAAATTTAAAAAGCTCAAAATCCAGGAAAATCAAAGAAAACACGTAAGAAAGTTAAAAATGGTACTATAAATGGTTGTATACCAAGTAATGTTTAGGGTCTAACTTTGATATGGTTTTGACTTCCATTATGGACGGTCATGTTTCGATGGTTTAAAAAGAAAAACTTGTTTGTGTAAAGACATACATACAAACAGGTATTAAGTGAAAGACTGTCTTTTTTAATTTTATTTAAAACTCCCTGCACGTACATGTCTAAAAATTACATACACAAACACACACACTTAATGTCTAAAAATTATTATTCAAAATTAATAATATCCTAATTATTGCTTATACTTGTGACATGACATGACAAAAAATATCATAATTTCATTATTTGTTATTTTATTAATAAAATATCAATACAAATACAAATACAATATCATAGTCATAAAAGTTACTGAATAACCATTTAAAAAGTGATGTACAATTAAAAGTAATTAAATATTACTACACCATAAACGTTCTGCAATAGGTTGATATTTACTGATGGAGGATTGAATATGAACAAGCCAATCATTGAAAGATTAAAAATGTAAATTCAAAATTTACAAACCTGCAAATTTATTTTGTATATACTGTGTCATTGTCACAATTAAGACGAATCTAGCGACACTTAAAACGTCAAAATTCATCAAGCCGTTTAGGCTAAAGAAACATACAGGGTTAGTCGACCTAGATACTTTAAGAGGATGTAGTTGCCATCATTTCTGATAGATTTTACTAAGAAAGACCATATATCCCAAACCTAACCTTTCAAGATATTGGACTTTTAAAATTTTGAATAAAACTTTTCCTAATAAATTTTTTTTACAACTTTTTTCTTTTTTTTACTGTTTTTGTGTAGTTGATACATTGTTTTATAATTTCCATTAATAAAATTGTAGTTAACTTATGAAACTGGGCCGAACTGGATGGGTAATGATAGCAAAAATAAATAAATTTGTAAAAAATTATGACAGTTAAATTAAAAACTAAACTTAAACTTTGTACACAAATATGTACGTTTTGTTAAAAAAAATCAGGTTTGGGATAAGTATTTCATAGCGTAATCAGAAATGATGGCAACTATAACCCCTTAAAGTATCTAGGTCGACTTAACCAGTATATATACATACATACATACACCCGAAAAACACTATCCTCCTTAAGATGCAGTCGGGTAACTTAATTGAAATAATCTAATCGATATATACAACTACTAAAAATTAAGAAGGCACGTGTCATACAAAAGGTCATTAAAAACTCATTACATAACTATGTATGTTAAGTTTTGGAGACAGATTTAGTACAAACATCAATAATTGTATTTTTAAACCTAATTACCAACCCTACTTACAAATTAATTTTTACTTATGTAACATCAAAATGGCACGTTAAAAGGGTAGTTTTTGTGTAATTCTCCAAGGCTGAAACATAAAGAGAAACAGTGTATTAATTACTTATAAGACGTGGGTAGCGCTGCATCAAATAATTGAGTGATTAGCCAATCGTTTGGGTTGCAAGGGTCAAATAGCAGTCGTCTGACGCATAGACAGTCATTGGGCCAAAATCTTTTTAGTCCCATTAAACTGAGAAGGTTATTTCCAAGTAATTGGAAACAAGAATGCAACGAGCGAAAAATATTACTCTGTATGAATGTATGTTATTCTGTCACGTAAAAAATACTTAACCTAACAAAAATACTTTATTTGTCAAAATAACACATAAGTTAATTAATCAAAATATTAAAGAATTTTTTAACAAAATAATAAATTAGTAAATAATCTAAGTTATAAGGAAAAGTTACAAGTAAAGTCTGCAGTGCAGCGTTTGACAAGGTCACGAAGCAGAAGCACAAGGGCCCTCCAAAAAACACACATTTATTCCCTTGTTAAAAGCAAAATAATGTATAGTTTTTATTAAAAAGTAAAATGGAAGGCTACATACATATAAATATATGTTTCAGAACAGTCAGTCTCAACGCCAAAAACAGACAAAAGAGCTTGCTTTGCTCATTTAACCTAAATGATTGCAACCATACGCTCGCTTCGCTTGTTCGTCTTCGGGTGTTACTCGTAATAGTCACTGTTTTAATCTAAATACCCAAATTACTCAATAGCAGTAGATGGTATCTAATGCTGTCAAAAGTACTATTCCCCGATGCCGGTTAAAAATACTCTTGACCTTTTAAGGGTTTTGAATAATAATAATAATAATATTCTAGCTTCTACAAACGAAACTGCAGGTAACAGCAATATAAAAAAAAAAAGCTTACTTCTTCATGTCAAAAATCCTCTTGTTCCTGTTCAAAGCGTTAATGGCTTCGATGTGATGGGGTTCGAGAACAAAGGTGAGCGCTTGGAGAATGTCATAGAGGCGGCCAGAGGCGGTGGCCTTGACAACGGCCTGCCGACCAGACTGGATCTGATATCTGTGAGCAAAATATAGCTTAGTACTGTCGTTTGGAAATAAAAGTCCTGGGGTAATAGAAATAGATAAACGACTTTTAGCTATGATGTAAGAAATTAAAAGAACTTTAATTACTAACGTAGATATACAGAGCGTCCCCTTCGCGATCCCTTAGAGGGTAAGACCAAATTAGCTTCAGTCTCAGGCCCCTGCAACTTCAAAAGGCGCAGGTTCGACCGCATATGGTATTCTGTCCTCATCTCTGGCATCCCTTTGGACCATATTCAGCGGTGGCCGATTCCAGACATCGATTGCCAGAATATTTCTGATCGGCTGGACCCCTAGGCGTTGCGTAGAGTTGTGGCTTTACATTCTCTATCGCTTGTATTATCGGGAGTGTTCCGAACATCACCGGTTGTAGCTACACATATTGATCAATATGCACACCGGTTGTAGCCAGGGGCGTGCGCTCCTTGTAGGCAGAAATGCAGTGCTTTACTTGCTATTCACAGACATTTTAATAAAACGTTGGTACGTTTTAGATGACTTTAATTAATAGTAAATAAATGAAAAAACAAAATATAATATAAACTTAAAAACGCGTACTATTTACAAATAGCATAGCACCACACAAACATTGTTTGCCAGGTGTTTACCGAAAAGCAAGCGCAAAGCAACTCATGCCGTCGCCTCGCGCAGGACATTTGTTCGCATGTGTGTAGTAATTTTGGTGTCCGTGCACAGTTCGCATACGCACACACCCATTTATTTTATATGCCCGACTACAGCCGCAGGATACTGCAGTTGGCCTTCGGCACGGTACAATTATAATACAGTAGTGTAACTCGGCCGCATGATAGAAATAAATGCCTACAGCCGTGCGGTACGTAAACATGCGTTAGGGCTGCCCGTCTCCAGCATTTTAATTATATTTGCCTACTTTCTGTTTCTATTTAGATTTGTGATTGTAAATATCATTTTTATATAAATAAATGAAATACTTTGTATATTGAATAGGAAGTGTTCAATAGAAAAGCGTGTTGTTTTTTGATTGGTAGATTTAATTAAAAAAACATGTTTTTGTTTGAAAAACAAATCAGGCTTATAAATTTGCGACCGAAAAATATTAGCGCCTCGACTGAGTCGTACGTAATGCTTTATTGTAAAATTTTAAAGTATTATAAATCCGCATTCTTATATAAAGCTTAATTAAAAATTGTTTTGGGAAACATGGACAATGTGGAGAAAATGGAATATTTCCTCCATTTTTTCTATATATTCCACAAAATCATCGTTGGGTACAATCAAAAAAGTTCGCTAATTAATCTTACTGTAGTCCCGGTACCTTAAATACCGAATCGAGCTGAAATTGTGGCTTTTTTGATCGGGTCTCACATACGATTTCAAAGAATGACAATCATCATGAATCTCCAAACAACGCTTAAGAAGATACCCACAAATATAAAAAAGTGTATTCAAAGAATCGAACAAATTATTCATCATCATTAAAAATTTTGCCGTGTCTCTGCCGGATTCTTCAATTTCATTGTTATCTATATACGTACGAATGCCATTTGCAACGGACTTGCTAAGAAATTGTGTCGCATAGCAAACCTTCATTTTCTCGAAGTTTGTGGGTTTGATATGACTGTCGTTAAGTTTAGGTGCAAGCCTCAAACTCTTTTTTAAGTCCTGATTATAAAACTTGACAATGTGATCATATTTTGCTATAGAATCACCGAAGTGGAAATCATATTGCATCAGGTTATTTCGAACGTTTGTAATTAGATGCGGTGCATCAAAAATATAATAAATTTTTCTATCATGTATAAAAAAAATATGGTCTTTTAATTGAAACTGATCTTTGTTTGGCAGCTTTCCATAAATCAGACCCTTGATCAGACACAATAATACGGACGTTAAGACCAATTTCGAATAATTTTTGCAGTACTTTATCAATCCATTTATTTATTTCTTCATAGTTTCGACATTCTGAAATAAATGCATATGATATAGGCTGTTGCCAGTTTACAAACATACCATGAACCATTATTACTAACGCATTTTTAGCGGGTTCAGGAGACTGCAATCCTTCAATTTCGTGGAATCCGGTAATTTTGTCTTCTTTAATATTAAAGAATAGATTTGCTTTTAATGACATAGCATTAATCATAACTGAACAATTTTTTTCTGTTTCTGTCATTTGTGCAACTTTTAATTTAAGAAGAGACATAGCAACCAAAAACAGCACAATATTGCCTACTCGTCATAATAACTGATTTTTAGAGAAAAAATCGCGCGGTTATTGTTAAAAAAACAAAACACCGTCCGTTCGACACTGCGGTACAGCCGTGACTGTCTGCGCCCCGAGCGCACCCCGAGATCGAGGCGCGTAGGTATAGCTCGCGTTTCGTCCGTTTGTATGAAGTTGGAGTACTGTATTATAATTGTACCGTGTCTTCGGCTCCCGCGCTAATCGTTGTCGTCAGTATTCGGGTATAATCGGCAGTGTTCGTTGCCTATAAATCCACCCAATTACAATAGTCAGAAATATAATGAATCATGTATGCGGATTATAAATTTTGAATATGGTAAGGTTTTATTTGTTTAATTAGCAGATAAATTTCTTGTTCGCGGGGGCCATATTGATTTTTTCATGTGATAAGCATTGTTTACTATTTTCTTTCCGCCAGTATAATTATAGTTTTATTTGAAAGTGTGTACATTTAACAGTTTATTACTGAGTTCCGTTGATTTTTTTAAAATGTTATTTGATTGTGAGTTATGTGTGGATAATGTATGTCTATTAAAAATTAAAAATAACAAGTTCTCACAATTGCCATTCAGTGAAAAGATTAAAATTGTGTCTAAAGGTAGGTGTGTACCCGAGTTACAACAATTAAACCAGCAAAAATGAAATGTAACTCGCAAGTTTCATGTTAAAAGTTATGAAACGTATAACTGGCTGTGTGGTTGTGTACACACGATTAAATTATATTGTTTTCCTTGCATATTGTTTAGTAATTCTAGTACAGTGTGCACTGATTCGGGATATTCAGATTTAAATAATTTCTATTCCGCAGCAAAGAAGCATGATGCATGGTGAGTAGTTATAATATTTTAGCCTATTATTTTACTTATTAGAATTTCTTCCGCCGCGACGATCTATCGCTGTTTTGTCTGCATTCCCGTTGAAGATGTACATGAATAGTAGTACATCTAAGACTTGTGCTAAAAATCTATAAAAGAAAAAGTGACCGACTACTCCGCCGCATACCTAGTGTCATAATCCTGTGCACGCCGCTGGTTGTAGCTTTTCATCTTTATCACTTGTATAAATTGGTATTTCACTATTACTGTTCATTTGTGTCTACAATGTGCTCCTTCAAAATGTTCATTTCTTACCTCACTAAAAGTTGGGCAGGAGTCACGTTTAACCCTGAAGCCATAACTTTGACTAGGGGATCATCTATAGCTGCGGAGACTGCAGCCTTGTATTCAGTAGGTGTACCCTTAGATCCCAACACAGAGAAGCAGCTGAGGGTTATGTTGCGTTCTGCGCAGAAGGCCTGGAGAGGTTGCTGTGTGAGATAGGGGTGACACTCTACCTGTGGGATTATAAAAAAAGGAAATAAAATGAGGTTATTAATCAGCCCATTACACCTACGCAGGTGGACATAGGCCTTCGCTAATTTACATCATTGCTCCCGCCCTCCTTTTTGCGGATTCACTTTAAAACATCGGCATTTCTTATTCTGTCGATATTTTTAATAAAACTAAGATTTATGACAAGTAAAAGTTTTGTCTTATAAGAAATTAGCTGTGGTGACATTACATTATTCTGTAAATTTCTTAATACAAATATATAGTTGATAAAAACTTTATGAATGCATGATCGATCACCAGTGCTTGGCCGTCTAAGACTATGTAATTTAAAAATTATATTTTCGTGCCCTATTATTATTATCATTATCAAAAGTCTTTAATAGTCCATAGTCAATTAGTAATATAATATTTCTCTAGACTTTTGATATATCATCATCATCAACAGTCTTTAATCGTCCACTGCTGGACATATACCTCTTCTTAGAAAGGAGGTTTGGGCCTACTATACCACTCTGGCTAGACGTGTTGATTGAGATTGTGCCAAATTTTCCTTCTCTTTGCAGTGCTGTTTGTCTTGGGATGTTAGTAGACTCTCAGGATACCCGCGGGATAAATAGGGTTGGTGACACTCCATATTCTTAATCCGTCACCACACGGCTTAATATCGCAACTAAAATAAATGAAGATGAAGACCTGATTAACTACTGGTTTAATATGCCCCTTGTCAAGAATCTTCTGGATCTGGTGTGAGTTAAAGTTGCTAACACCGATGGCTTTCACCAGACCCTTGCTGACGAGGGTTTCCATTGCAAACCATGCGTCCATATAATCATACTGGGAGAATTGAAGTACATGTGCTATTTGTGGTATTGGATCGCCACCTTCCTGGTAGAAAATAAAGAAATGTTGTTATTATTTACCCTTTAAAGTTTAAACGCACTTGCACCTTAAGCAAATACAAATACGAGAAGCAAAAAAACTGGCGTATAATAATAAAAGTACAAAATTAATTTTGAATGTCTTGTTTTGTAATTCTACGTCGTTAAAATAGCATGCCAGGCAAATAAATACAAAACACTGTTTTTTTGTTTAACCACCAAACCACCAAAAGAACTAGTTTTTCCTGCGCGAACGCAAGGTCTATTAATGTCTAATATTTAATGTATGTTGTGTACTGTATTATTTAATGCCTCTAACATTATAGGTTGGTCACTTAAACTATACTAATGTCAAAAACCGACTTACTTTTAAGGACATTGGATTGTGAATCATAAACAGATCAAAATAATCGAGGCCCAGTGCTTCAAGGGATGCTCTGCAGGCTGTCTCCACTAACTCTGGCTTGTGGTATGTGCTCCAGAGCTTATTCATGATGAAGAGCTCCTCACTGAGTAATAATAAGTAATTATTGGTTGGTACGTACGTTACGTAATAGCGTAAATCTATTCCCTTCAACAGGGCACAAATCAATACATACATACAATAGATAAATCTTCGTCAAGAAGCAGTATCAGACGCTTTCCACCCGCACTAATGATATGATTTTTAGGTGTAGCCGAAAGACCTATTTCTTTCTCGGTGGATTCACCGTGCGGGTGCCGGGTCCATCGCATGATAGATGGGGGCAATACATGCGACTTCGACAGCGCCTGGGACATGCGGCCCAGGTATATTTTTAGGGAGTACTTGTTTTAAGCTATTCAGCATTATATTACGTTCATTATACCAAAGACTACATTCCCAGAGGATATGATGAGCAGATTGTTCATAGTGAGCGTTAGGTGTTGAGCATTGACACAATGGTGACTCGACTAATTTAAATGAAAACAACTTGCTCTTAAAGTTACCATGACCCGTAAGAAATTGAGCGACACAGTGATCTACCTCAAGCCATGTCCTCCACAACCGTTCGCGAACTGATGGAATAAATTGGTAAAGATGGCGCCCCTTGGATGATTCGTCCCAGCGTTGCTGCCATTCGTCTATGAGGTCATTATAGACATCGGCCTGCTGTTGAAGCAATCTTGTAATTTTACCGCGATCCCGCGCGCCCAAGAAATCGCATTCCATGTTTTGTCTTGAATAGTACATGGCTGCACGTCTCTGCACCTCGAGATCGACCGGAAGCACACCCGCCAACACCGGCAAAGCCTCAGTGCTAACCGTCCTATATGCCTTGCACAAAAATATCAGTGCAAGTCGTTGGCCTTGTAACATTTTGCGACGGACAGCGCCTACGGTCGCCCTATCGGCCCATACAGGTGCACCATAGCACATAGAACCTAAATAAGTAGCTCCGTATATGATCTTTAATGTATTAAATGATAGACCCCATGTCGCAGTTGATATCCTTGTCAATGCACAGAAACTCTTTTTAGACTTTTCATCAACTATTTTAATATGTTCGATAAATGAAAAGTTTCTTTATAAAACTAATCCTAGATAACACACTGTGGTTTTATTTTTTACAGTAACATTGTCAAATCTAATGCTCGGCGGTGATTTGAGGTTACCTTTTAAAAGTAGCTGGAAGGTTTTGTTGGGTGCAAAAGTTAAGCGATTACGTTCACCCCATTGAGATATCAAGTTCAAACATCTATTGCCTAATCTCCCAAGCCATCTGGGGCGATATACTATGGGGATCTTGTGTCAACTAGGGTGAATTTCCGTGCGTTTAGGCGATTCTGCCATACATATTATAAAAATCAAATATAGCTCATGTAGGACCCGTAATATTTTGTGGCCGTGGTGCTTCCCTGTTTAAAAGGGTGTATGCCTATTTTACTTCATTTTGTCTCCCGCTTTGCTAAGGAGGGAAGTGGATTTACTGTATTTCCAACTCCTCCAATTTTCTTCTGATTAATTTCGTTGCGGGTTCCAAGACAGTTTAATTTCTTCCTGGGACTTCCCCAGTGTCATAACTCGGTGTGTTCGTGGGTCACTGCTGTGGATCCTGGTGTACAGGAGTTACAGTGGTGGGCGTGTGGGTGGGATTAGTCCCAAAAGTACTTGTTTTAGGAAAGATTTTGTTTGTTATCTCTTTGTCGGTCTGTCTTCTAGCATTTCAATCTAACTCTACTGGACTGCGTACCCACCATGAGTTTCTTGTGGAATTGGAGCTGTGACTCGGGCTCTGATGAATTTTTGTCTTTTGGAAGGGATCTAACGATTTCGTCTTGTGATTTTGACAATACATGCATGTTGGTAACTCTTAGGTGTTTGTAGAGTTCCGAAGGTCTTTTTAATTTCATTCCGAAGTTATTCGAACCCTCTGTACAACGTTGACGGGTCTGCACATGGTGCTAGCTCGAGCCACGACTTCAATGTCTTAGTGACCTTCGCGTCCAGTGTTCTTAAGTGGTTCTGGTTTATATCGTATACCAGAAACGGTCGGTTGAGACGTGATATTAAGTAGTTGTCGTAAATCCAAGCTTTTTTTACGTTACTTATTGGCTGTTGGTTTACCTTACTAAGTATTTTAATATAATAATAATATTTATTTATTTGACCTATATTATTTTGCAGTGTAGGACATTTTTATTTAAAATATTTTATTTATACGTATTTATTTTAAACGTAGAGGTATATAATAAAATTAATATCAAAACCTTTAATCGCTGCGTGCCTCAATTAGGGTAAACCTTTATTTCAGGCGATCTCTGGACTTGAGAGTTTGGAACAGATCACTACTAAATACAAAAATAAAGCACAACAGATTAATAGAGGACATTAAAATACATTAAACAGATTAATAGAGGACATTATAGTGTACACGTACGTAAACATCAGACATCAACAGCCTTTAATAGTCCACTGCTGGACATAGGCCTCTCCTTAGAAAGCAGGTTTTGGCCTACTATACCACGCTGGCGGGTTTGTGTCAAGTTTTCCTTCTTTTTGCAGTGCTGCTGTCCTGCGTAGTTTGCTCACTTAGTCGGCTCTTACGACACCCACGGGATGAATAGGGGTGGTGACAATCCGTATTCTTACTCCGTCACCACACGGAAGTATGGAATTGTTTATAAATTCAATAATATTTATAAACAATTATTTCCGTCTCATTGAACAATTTCTAACATATTTTCTGTGCTTGCATAATTAAATTTACCCAGATATTCTGATAAATGACATATGTTATTATAGCTATATATATTTAGTATCCTATTAATATTATTATACAAGAATAGTTCTAAGAAAAAATAAAATCTTATCACAAATGCTGCGGATAATTTGAGTTATTAGTGTTTGTAAATTGTCCGTAGTTGGCACATATTGTTTACAATTTTCGATTACACAATATCTAACTTCAGACACAGAAAAAAAATCTATGTCACAGAGCAACTGTTTAGTCATTATGTATTAAAATAAAATGTAAAAAGATTTATGTGCTTACGTTATCAAATAATCAGTGGCGCTCTTAGGCGCCCTCTTAGTCTACAGAATTTATAGGTTTCTCCTCAGCATATTTCCGTGCTGGGCAAGTTGCACCACCAGCTTGGTGATCACTTTTTCGTTTGAACCGTTTGCGAAAGTCATCGACTATTGCGTTTATAGATGGAGTACGACCTTTGTAGTCTTTCTTCCAAGGATTTTAAAGGGCACGGTTTCTGATATTATTGAAACACTTTATACACCAATAGTAATCCCGTTGTCATATGAGGTATATCTGGTACCTCGTCGGTCCAGACAAAGGCAATAGCATTTGCTAGGTTTTGTCCTCATTCCCTTCGCCCAGGTACAGAAATCATCCACCTTACGCAGTAGTTCTTGGCACTGCTTCGGGTTACGTGTGAGGATCGCAAGGTCATCTGCAAATGCTAAGATGGATTCCGTATATTTTTCATTGACCTTAAACCGACCTCTTTTCGTCTGTTGCGATATTGTTTATTAATATATTTATAACTGTATTAAATACAACTGGTGTAAAGCAGCAACCTTGGAACAACCCTACTCTGTATTCAAAGGGTTTGTACTTCATTATTTTGCGGCGATTACACATTTTAATTTACTGTAGTATGATGCAATAATTTCACGAACTATTGGCGGAAAGTTATACCATTTCAAGACAAATAACGTGTCGTACTAAACCAAAGGCGTTTTTTAAATCTAACCAACAGATTGTAGTTTGACTAGCATCTTTGAGACTTTCCAATGTATTCAAGTAATGAGTTATGTTCCAGACATCCAGAGATTCCGGGCATGAACCCTTTCTGGTAAGTTGGTAAGTAATTATTGTTGGAGATTTGCTATAATTATGCATTGTTATGAAAAAAGAATTGAAATGTAGTAATTTTGATTTGTAATTTTAATTTTGATGATAAATAATAGTTTAAAGTATCTTAAAGGCACTGTCAGAAACGATAATTCGAAAACCATACAATGAAAAAAAAACGTACAATGAATCGAATACGCTTTGGAAAGTAATGAATTAGAGATTCTTAACATTGCAGCATCAAACTTACATTTACAACAACATTTTTTGTCTAGCCTGTTTATTACAAGAATGGCATATCAAATGCATCTCATTTTAGTCGTAGCAGAGTCATGTTTCGGCTCAAATGGCTCGTCCGGAGTGATACCATGGCCTCACAGAAAGTCGGTGCTCTCAGAAGACCGATGCTCACAGAAATCTGGTTCTCACAGAAATCCGGTGTTCACATAAATCCGGTGCTCACAGGAAACAACTCTTTCGTTGCTTTTCACCGAGTGAGTGAAGTTAAAGAAGCCCAAAGCTCCCCTAATGGGAGAGGAGGCGACTTAACGGGCGGCACCGCACTTGTGACTCTTGTGAGTTGCAGGTTAGGGCGGCGGTAGCCACTCACCATAAGGTGACCCGTCTGCTCGTACCCTGCCCCCTTACCATAAAAAATGCATATAAAGTCTGTGGAATTTAGCTAGTCTGACTATTTATACCGATACACCTACAAATCTTTATAGTGTAAAATTTGATCTAAGCTTTTCGTCAACAAAATGTGCTATTAACTCACCGTGTTACTGTTCCATCGTCTATTTTCTTCTTGATACCCTCTCCCACAGCTCGTTCTGTACCGTAAATAAAAGCCGTGTCTATAGCTCTGTAGCCTAAGTCTATGGCCGCAGACACTATATGAGGGGCGAGACGTGGGTCCAACTACAAAAAATGCCAAATTTTACCTTAAAAAAACGTATGACAAGACGATGAGAAATTAATTTAGAACATGTTCCCGTTATTATATTTATGTTACAACGCCGACTTTGCTTTTTCAGTCGGTTTTCTCGCTTCGCTCTATTAACACTGTCACACGCGAAGCAGAGAATATGAAAGTAATATAATTTTACAAGTGATGTTTTTGTTTAGTAAATAATTCGTACAGACGAAATTGCTTGCCGTGGCGGACTGCGGCAGCGCAGAGCCTAAACCGCTATGGCTATGTTTTAAGCACCTACTAAGAAAAGATTTTTGCAAAATTTCGTGGGAGTAACATAAAAAAAAAGAGTAAAATAAGTTAAAAAACACGAAATAAGAAATAATCATGTTAGCGAAGGCGCGGACAATAGCTAATAAGGAAATAAATAAAAGTAAAAATATAGTACCATCTCTATAAGATTATCTTCTCACTCACCAAAGCAGTGCCAAGTGCTATAGCCGGCATCTGGTCTCCATTACCCAGACTTAAATACAGCATGTCTGTTTTATTGTATCTCAATTTGACCGAGGACAGATCATCTATTTTCTGGAGGTACATTTCTTCGGTGAGGATATTGCTCGAAGGTTGGCTGGATGTTTTAGATGTTGTTATGGTGATAGGAGGTTTCGGGTTTGATGAAAGCGTTGATGTAGCTTTTTTCTGGAGAAGATAGAACAAAGAAGTTTTAATACATATTTTTGGTGAAATTTAGGGAATACTGTTAATATTATTGCTTAGAACACTCGGACATGGTAATGAAATTAGTAAAAACTGCAGTAAAGTAAAAAAATAATTGTTTATACATTCATATTTAGTTAATAATAAGTATATCAAACAATAGTCCCAAGAAGGTGACCCTCAATTCCTAATAGGAATAAAACAGTAACGATCGAATTCGGAGACAATTAAAAAAGTAGGACCATAAAATCTGTACCCATTGCTGCACAAAGAAAATATTTTATCGGTTAAAATTAAATCCGATTAATTTATACTTTTTAAATGAAATAAATATTTAAACGATATTGTGTGATTTATTCGTATTCTCTCTTGGGCTGAACATGTGCAGCCAGCAATTTTTTACGGTTGTGATCTAGTTTTAAGAACGTATAACTTATCTCTTACACTTCCAAGTAAACAAAGTTCAAAACAGAATGCAAAACAGTCCAATAACGAGTAAAGGAGTTAAAGAGGTAGGCAGCGGGCTCCGTGGGCAAATCGAGTTTGGTAAGAACAAAATGGCAAAACGCGTAGCAGTTAACACAAGATGAGCAACGACTGAAGTTGAATTGAACTTGTATTGTAACAGAACTTGTATTGCGTTGACTTCGGTGGCGCGCTCTTGGCACCGAGAGTGAGAGAGACAGCAATAATTTGTTCTCTTATCCTCGGCCCATTGTTATTGCAGGTAATAGAGAGGGAGAGAGATAAAACCTTAGGAATAACAAATTGTTTTTTTTAGAATAATGACTAATTTGAAGGCCAATTTTAGCTAAAGCAACCCTATAAAGTTCTACGTTTATTAATGTTTATGAAAGCTAAGTATCTGCCGCAATATTGAGGCCTACTAGAAATTTAGGAACCACAAAGTTACCTGTTTAGATTTTTAAACAAACCTCATATTTCACTGAAAGTTAACTTTCACTTTGGACCAACATTTAAATAGCTTTCATCACAGTTACGAAGCTGATTATTTTGTGCATAAAATAGGTAATCATGAAGATTCAGTTCCAATAAGAAAACCTGGTCTGACTTCGTCAAGATTTTCTTGCTCGACTTTTTAAGTTTTTAAGTTGGTCACCTTCATAAATTTAGATTTTTTAAGTTGGTCACCATAAATTCAAATTCATATCTCGAGACAATTTATGGGGGAATTAGGATGAGAGAAACAAGAACAGATTTGACAATATCCCTATAAATCAGTAAGAGATCACCATCATAGCGATAAGACAGTTAGTAGTAGTTAGTAGTTAAGTATTGTTATGCACCAATATGTAAATATCAATCCATATCTGTACAAATAAATACGGTATCGGTGTACAATAAAAAATATAAATATGAATAATAAGAAATATCTAAAATAAACAGTATTTTTAAACATACGGTTATCTGTGTACCACCCCTATTTATCCCAAGGATATCGTGAGAGCCGACTATGGAAGCAAACTACGCAATACAACTACTTGAAACAAACCCTTTTGTTTTTTTTTTTTAACGTGTGGAAATCCCCTCGGACCGTCACCCCGCCGGGGCTCTCGTTCGGCGGGGCGGTGTGTCGGACTCGAACCAACTAAAACCACACGGTGTGTCCTTTTTGCGCTTCCAGTTTAGGAGGGGTCCAGGTAGTTATCGCCTTCTGGACCCCTCCCAGCGCCGGCTCGCTCCTGGTGCGGGCTCCGTCTCCCTTGAAACAAACCCTATACCAACCCGTCGAGGCCTATATTACAGTACTTCAATGAAATGCCTGCCCTTCCGCCGAACAAAATATATTTAAAAACTTACCTCAAACAGCGCAATCTTTTCTAATACAGAGCTTTTCTTGGGCATTTCTTTTAAACTGATTTTTCTTGCCCTCGATGTTTCGATTCTGTCAAAATCTACGGATTTGATTCTGTACACCATTCTCTGTACCTGTCCTTTCACTGCATCTCCTAAATCTAGTTCTGCTAAAGACTTGGTTCTTTTTTTATCTTCTCTTGAATCATACACGACATCTAACTCGTGAATGTTATTTTCAACTCTTTTATTTCTAATGTTGATATCAGTTTTATTAATGTTGTCTTGGATAGACAGAGTTGTTAGATTTGATGATTTCTCTGTGTAGTATGCCGCTTTATTTTTGGTAGGGTTTCTATTGGTAATTAAAAATACTTTATTTTGTAATTTTCCCATGATAGTATCCTTGGTCTCTCTTATTTCTGGCTCACTATCAACTAGCTCCGGATCGCTAGGTATTTCTTTATCTAAATCAATGTTGTGTTTAAGTTTAGGCTTTTCATTAAATTGATCAACTTCTAGGTAAGGATTTAAGTTGTCTTTTCCAGGCACCAAACTCTTTATATCTTCTTCATCTCCAGGGATCTTGAAGTCGATTCGTTCGGGTAATATCTTTGGACTTTCAAAGCCAGTTTCATTAGATACAATATCAATTTCACTCGGTAAAGTTCTCGGAGTTTCTATTGAGTCTTCATTTGAGTTATATCCTGATATTGTTTTAGGAACTTCAGAAATATTTGTATTTGGTACAATTTCACTAGTTTCAGCTGTATAAGTATTACTTCTGAATTCAGTTGTAAATGAGATAGTAGCAGGAACTTCAATTTGGCTTTTTTGACTTTCAAATTTCAATTTTGTTGATATAGTTAGTGGTGTTTCCGGTAGCATAACAGGCACTTGTAGTTTTCCATCATTTGTAGCAAAATTAATTCTTTCTTGTAAAAGCGTAGGTGTTTCGTTTAATTTTATGTTAGATATAAGGTCTCTTCTGAAAGGTAAAATAGTTGGTATTTCAGTCGGTTCTTTAGATTTTAGTGTTAATTCTCCTGGTATTGATATTAGAGTTTCATTTTTACTTATGTCATATGTGTTATCCTCATCTTTACGTAAAGTTATCGACTCACTTTTGTCAATAACACCCTTTTCATAGGCCGCCCTTGTTGTAATAATTTTTTGTGCTTTAATTAGACTAGCTTCAGTTGTTTTTTGCTTACTTTTATTGTTAAGTTGTTTATTGGCACTCACTTGCTTATTCCAAAGATCTAAATTAAGTTTGCCCACTTTTGATTTCTGTGCTTTTTTCTCGTTTTCTACATTTTCGGTAATATTTTTTTCTGAAGAATTCTTAAAAATATTTTCTTCATTTTCTCTCGGCAAAACATTTAGGTTTGCAGGTAAGCTTAGAGCAGTATCTGGTTGTGTTTCAGATGTGTTAAACCTTATTCTTTCTGTTAAATTTGAAGGTGCTTCTGTTTTTTCTTCAGAGTGAATAAAATCTAGCTTTTCTGGCAATATTGTTATTTGTTCTTTGTAACATTCATTCAATTTAACAGTGTTTCCTGCTGATAAGGTATTGTTAGTTCCAGGAAAACTTTCGTTTACTTCGAAATTGCTTTCATGTACTGTAAAATCAATTGCCTCCGGCATAATTTTAACTTCTTGCACTTGATGTATTGTGGAAATGTTTTCTTCTTGGTACTTCATAATGTGATCTACAATAACTGGACCATCATCGATCGTTATTTTATCTGCATCTAGTTTACTGCCGCTTTGTCCATACACATTATTATTTAAAAAGTCTAATTCAGGCTGAGTTGTAAATACTTCGTCTAAAGAGTTTTTGCTCTTTTCCATGTTGTCTGCAGCAGGTACCGTTTTTGTTTTTTTATCTATTAAACATCTCTTTACTTTTACAGTATATTCATCACCTTTACTCTGAAAAATTGGATTGACATAAATTTAAAAAATATATAACTTTGACATCAATGAAAAAAAAAAATAGCAATGAGGTGGACCAAAGTATATTGGGCGTCTCAAATTTCCTAAAATACAATAAGTTTTATTTAGTTATTTAAAACTGAAAATACCTACATCCGTATGCTGATTGATGAAATTATTCGTTTGAAAATTATTGTTAAATTAAGATAAATTACTTTTTGACGTAGTTAAGTTACAAGTTCAGTTCAAAACAATATTATGTTTAGTTTCAGTTGAAGAGATGATGAAGTAAAATAACAAAATCAAAAATGTATTAAAAAAATGACATACACAATACAAAACAAAACAAAAGAAATAAAATTAAGCCATATTATGATTTCAAATATTAAATATTATAATATATTTTAATAAATCTCAAGTAACTATATTTAAATTGATAAATACATTGAGATCAAACTAAAGCCTTAGAGATTATGCTTTGTATCTTTCGTTAAACAGATGTAAAGTGTTTGGGTTAATATTGGTCACAATGCAGAGCTACGAGTACTCGTATATATAGTGTGGTACAGATGCAGAATGTTAATTAGACATAATTCTCCTACTGAATAAAGATATCATTATTATATAAAAAGTCCATAGCAGCCAGCAGAGATTAGGGCGTCAATAGGTGTAATATATTTCTTCTATCTGATTTAGTAATTCATCAAGAGAGTTCTAAATATTTCAAGGGAATTCATAAGTCCTATTTTCTCTCTATCTCTCTTAACACCTAATTTATCGGTATAGCAAATGACTCACAGCAATTATTCAAGCACCAAACGACACTTAAATATAAAAATGGGTAACTTACCTCAAACATAGCAATTTTGGATAACACAGATTTTTTCTTAGGCTGCTCGTCTTTTGGGTTATGGCTTACGATATCTTTCTTTGTCAAATCTGTGTCTTTTACACTGAGCTGAGTTTTTAGTCTGTCGACGTTGCCTTTTAAAATTGGGATATTTTGTGTGTCAATACTTGTATTTGGTAAGGCCACATCATTGTTGATGTTCATTACTTCCTGTGCAGGTAAATTCTTACTTACTTCGGTTTTATCCGCAGTTTCTTGAGTACTTTTGAAATTATTCAAAATTGTTTCGTGTTCTTGATCTTTTGAAACAGATGTGACATTATCATTGTCATTTGTTTGGATATGCTTTTCATCATCGTTACTTTCTACTGAATATTGCAGTTCCTCACTTTGTGTTATAATCATTGCTGTCGTGGATTTGATATCATCTAAAATAGATTTATTTTCATCAATTATTTTCTCAGATTTTTTGTCATCATCATACTTAGTGAATTTGTTTTCACTGTAAGTTCTTGTGTATTGTTTTGTTAGAACTTCGTCAGCTGCCTTCCATTCCACAGATTTACTTCTTTCGACATTTTTTATGCTACCTTTGATGTAGCTGTAGGTAGTATTTGTAATTTCTGGTAGTGGTAAGTTGGTACTGTCTTCTGTAAATTTTTCGACTTTCAGAGCATTTTGATTTCTATCTGGTTCAAAGTCATGGTTAGGGATTTGATTAAATTTATCAGATTCACTGTAATCTGAGGTTAGTCTTGTAGAGTCTTCGTTATAAATTTGTCTGTTTTTCGATGAAAGAATTATGCTTTTGCCATCTCTGCTAAATGTTCTGCTAATGCTACGTGTAATTTTTTCAGTTCTAATTTGTGGTTCACTGCTAACTGTGTCTCGACTTATGGTTTTACTACTGCCATTTTTCATTTCTTCACGTTTTGTCACTTCTCGGTTAACTAAAACTCTATCATCTAAACTCGCTGGACGTCGGTTAAGTTCCCTACTAATACTCCGATTTATTTGATCAGGTTTCATAGGAATTCTTGTTATCGTCTTAGTTATCTTACGACCATTTTCATTTTCTTCAAATTCCATTTTTTCTTCATAACCTTGGACATCTTCTATTTCTCGGATCGTTTTAGCACCAACAGGTTCATTAAGACTAATAGCTCTCTGTACAACATGAGTGTGATTTGGTTCAATACTAAGTTCAGTGCCTGACCTCTGAGAGTTACTTAAATTCACACTGTTACCACGGGCAAATCTTTTTGTGGTGATAGTTGTTGCTGATACTTTGAAACCGCCATCTTTTAAATTAGCATCAGTTACTGTAGCCTTTTTCTTCTCTACTGCACCAGTTTTGTTTGCACTGTCTTTCTTTCTCCATGGTATTTTAGATAGTTTTAGTTTTTCAGTAGGCATAAAATAATTTTCATCGTTACTATCATAGGCGTGAATGATTTCTTCAAATTTAGTTTCTACTTTCTCTGGATCATCGATGCTCCCTACTAATATTTTATCATCTACCACATTGTTTTTGTTATCAACTACTTCTTCATATAGTTTCTCGAACTCATCATCTTTTAATGATGATCTCCTCTTGATAGCTTTACTATCTTTCAGTTTAGGAATCGATGATCTTCGGGGTTTATTGTGAGGCTGGAAATAAAAGAATTGTTACTTGTATCACATTTAATATACTACTACTGCATGACATTTTACCTATTAATAATAATAATAATGCATACAAAATTACTTGTCATCATCTTGTCTTGTACTTGTCAAAAACAGTCTTTAACACTTTTGAGACAGATGATGATGACTAAATTTACAACTATGTAAAAAATAACTTAATAGCTTATTTCTTGAATACCTGATGGATATGCCAAACACAATGTATTTTTTTTTACTAGACCCTGACTTTCTGAAAGCTCTCAAATTTACTTTTCTCTGAAAAAAATTCTAAAATGTGCACGTATTACATTCATTTAACATTTTTCGATTGGTTTTAGCTCTCGAAATCTTTGTTACAAATATATAGCTTAACTTAGATCATTGAATACGTCGTTATAACGTACCTCTTTAACGTTCTTCTGTACCTTCTCAACTGTTTGTTTGAATTTCAGCAGTGGTATTTTAGACTTCTTTGCAGCTTGACTTTTTTCTGAAATTTAATTAAAAGTCTTTAATTAAGTATTATTATTAGAAAGTGTTAGATGTCTAGATATTATGATGGTCTTCATCGCATTACCAGTATCCTATCATACCAGTATTGGCCTCAGATAGCTCAGTAATAAATTTATTCTTAACAATAGCCGGCATAGTAAATGTTCTGGAATAGATTAGTTATATTCAAAGAATGAAATTCCTATTGCCATCTTTCATGGATTATCTTTGAACCGGATTTTCACCAATCAAATCGATCAAGGTTAAAGCTATCCATTAAATATCTCTATCACGCAGTAACCTCAGTCATGAGCTTATCCTGTGTTGTCGTTGTGTGACTGTGGTAGACTATTATTATTTAAAACAATATTCAGCGCTATCTAGACCCAAACTAAACACAATCATTATTATTATTATGGGTTCTAGAACACTAATAAACCTTTTTTTGTATGCATAATCATGTCTCGAAATATACAGAATAATTCTTATATACATGTTTTTTATAGAACCTATGAAGTCAGTCATTACGGTGAATGCCCTTCTCCGTGCCACTCAGCAGGTGATAAGAAAAATTATTGAATATAAGCACTGACCATCATTTTTAGATTCCTCCTGTAGTACTACTATACTCTGTGTAGTGCTGACAGTTCGTGTGTATGTTTGACTATCTGTTTGCACAGTCCTCGCCTCCTCCTCTTCCCCGGTGTGAGATATCCTGTGGCGCCCATTTTCTATTTCTTGTATCTGCAACTTAATGATTTTTTTCTATAATATCTATTGTTTATTAAGGCAGTACTTACTACTATATTTTAGGCTTGTTCTTTGTGTTGAGTGATATGTGATCAGTAGAGTTGGGTGGTGTCTCCAAGTTCTAACGACTCAGTTATTGATTGTATAATAATGCAATTCCTACAATTTATATTTTAAGGTTTGTTCTTTGTGTTGAGTGATATGTGATCAGTAGAGTTGGGTGATGTCTCCAAGTTCTAACGACTCAGTTATTGATTGTATAATAATGCAATTCCTACAGTTTATATTTTAGGGTTTGTTCTTTGTGTTGAGTGATATGTGATCAGTAGAGTTGGGTGGTGTCTCCAAGTTCTAACGACTCAGTTACTGATTGTTTAATAATGCAATTCCTACAATTTATATTTTAGGGTTTGTTCTTTGTGTTGAGTGATATGTGATCAGTAGAGTTGGGTGGTGTCTTCTAGTTCTGACGACTCAATTATTGATTGTTTAATAATGCACTTCCTACAATTTATATTTTAGGGTTTGTTCTTTGTGTTGAGTGATATGTGATCAGTAGAGTTGGGTGATGTCTCCAAGTTCTAACGACTCAGTTATTGATTGTATAATAATGCAACTCCTACAGTTTATATTTTAGGGTTTGTTCTTTGTGTTGAGTAATATGTGATCAGTAGAGTTGGGTGGTGTCTCCAAGTTCTAACGACTCAGTTATTGATTGTTTAATAATGCAGTTCCTACAATTTATATTTTAGGGTTTGTTCTTTGTGTTGAGTGATATGTGATCAGTAGAGTTGGGTGATGTCTCCAAGTTCTAACGACTCAGTTATTGATTGTTTAATAATGCAATTCCTACAATTTATATTTTAGGGTTTGTTCTTTGTGTTGAGTGATATGTGATCAGTAGAGTTGGGTGGTGTCTTCTAGTTCTGACGACTCAATTATTGATTGTTTAATAATGCACTTCCTACAATTTATATTTTAGGGTTTGTTCTTTGTGTTGAGTGATATGTGATCAGTAGAGTTGGGTGATGTCTCCAAGTTCTAACGACTCAGTTATTGATTGTATAATAATGCAACTCCTACAGTTTATATTTTAGGGTTTGTTCTTTGTGTTGAGTAATATGTGATCAGTAGAGTTGGGTGGTGTCTCCAAGTTCTAACGACTCAGTTATTGATTGTTTAATAATGCAGTTCCTACAATTTATATTTTAGGGTTTGTTCTTTGTGTTGAGTGATATGTGATCAGTAGAGTTGGGTGATGTCTCCAAGTTCTAACGACTCAGTTATTGATTGTTTAATAATGCAATTCCTACAATTTATATTTTAGGGTTTGTTCTTTGTGTTGAGTGATATGTGATCAGTAGAGTTGGGTGGTGTCTCCAAGTTCTAACGACTCAGTTATTGATTGTTTAATAATGCAATTCCTACAATTTATATTTTAGGGTTTGTTCTTTGTGTTGAGTGATATGTGATCAGTAGAGTTGGGTGGTGTCTCCAAGTTCTAACGACTCAGTTATTGATTGTTTAATAATGCAATTCCTACAGTTTATATTTTAGGGTTTGTTCTTTGTGTTGAGTGATATGTGATCAGTAGAGTTGGGTGATGTCTCCAAGTTCTAACGACTCAGTTATTGATTGTATAATAATGCAATTCCTACAGTTTATATTTTAGGGTTTGTTCTTTGTGTTGAGTGATATGTGATCAGTAGAGTTGGGTGATGTCTCCAAGTTCTAACGACTCAGTTATTAATTGTATAATAATGCAATTCCTACAATTTATATTTTAGGGTTTGTTCTTTGTGTTGAGTGATATGTGATCAGTAGAGTTGGGTGATGTCTCCAAGTTCTAACGACTCAGTTATTGATTGTTTAATAATGCAATTCCTACAATTTATATTTTAGGGTTTGTTCTTTGTGTTGAGTGATATGTGATCAGTAGAGTTGGGTGGTGTCTCCAAGTTCTAACGACTCAGTTATTGATTGTTTAATAATGCAATTCCTACAATTTATATTTTAGGGTTTGTTCTTTGTGTTGAGTGATATGTGATCAGTAGAGTTGGGTGGTGTCTCCAAGTTCTAACGACTCAGTTATTGATTGTTTAATAATGCAATTCCTACAGTTTATATTTTAGGGTTTGTTCTTTGTGTTGAGTGATATGTGATCAGTAGAGTTGGGTGATGTCTCCAAGTTCTAACGACTCAGTTATTGATTGTTTAATAATGCAATTCCTACAATTTATATTTTAGGGTTTGTTCTTTGTGTTGAGTGATATGTGATCAGTAGAGTTGGGTGGTGTCTCCAAGTTCTAACGACTCAGTTATTGATTGCTTAATAATGCAATTCCTACAATTTATATTTTAGGGTTTGTTCTTTGTGTTGAGTGATATGTGATCAGTAGAGTTGGGTGGTGTCTCCAAGTTCTAACGACTCAGTTATTGATTGTTTAATAATGCAATTCCTACAATTTATATTTTAGGGTTTGTTCTTTGTGTTGAGTGATATGTGATCAGTAGAGTTGGGTGGTGTCTCCAAGTTCTAACGACTCAGTTATTGATTGTTTAATAATGCAATTCCTACAATTTATATTTTAGGGTTTGTTCTTTGTGTTGAGTGATATGTGATCAGTAGAGTTGGGTGGTGTCTCCAAGTTCTAACGACTCAGTTATTGATTGTTTTTTAATGCAATTTCTACAATTTACATTTTAAGCTTGTTCTTTGTGTTGAGTGATATGTGATCAGTAGAGTTGGGTGATGTCTCCAAGTTCTGATGACTCAGTTATTGATTGTATAATAATGAAATTCCTACAATTTATATTTTAAGGTTTATTCTTTGTGTTGAGTGATATGTGATCAGTAGAGTTGGGTGGTGTCTCCAAGTTCTGATGACTCAGTTATTGATTGCTTAATAATGCACTTCCTACAATTTATATTTTAAGGTTTGTTCTTTGTGTTGAGTGATATGTGATCAGTAGAGTTGGGTGGTGTCTCCAAGTTCTAACGACTCAGTTATTGATTGCTTAATAATGCACTTCCTACAATTTATATTTTAGGGTTTGTTCTTTGTGTTGAGTGATATGTGATCAGTAGAGTTGGGTGGTGTCTCCAAGTTCTAACGACTCAGTTATTGATTGTTTTTAATGCAATTCCTACAATTTATATTTTAAGGTTTGTTCTTTGTGTTGAGTGGTATGTAAGCAATTTTGGAGAGTAGTGACACTAAGTTCTGACGACTCATTGCTTAATTATTTATTAAGGCAATACTTAAAATTATCATTTAGGTAACAAGTAAGTGAGTAGTGTCTACTTATTCTGACGACTCGTTGATTGATTGTTTTTAAAGCAAAAAATTATGTTTTATGCAAGACTTTGTGTTGAGTAACAAATGCGAGGCCCGGTTCTCCAAGTTCTGATGACTCATTCTTTGATTGTTTGTTAAGGCAGTTCTTATAATTTACATTTAAGAGCGTTCTTTGGTGTCGAGTGATAAGTGAGTAAGTAGTGTCTACCTATTCCGGCAATTCATTACTTAATTTTTTATTAAGGTCGAATGATGTTGTGATCAAATAAGAGTATAGTCAAATTGTATGTATTATATATCTTTATATGAACACTTTTTAACCAAGTCACGAATTGATTTGTTTAGTTTTGCTAACTTTAAACTGGTTTCATACAAATATAGAGTTAATAAAATGAGAGGAAGCTCTTTAATCTTTGGTACACATTATGTAAAATGTGATGAAATACGAAATACCTTTATGTCAAAAATTATATAAAAGAGATTCTTTTGAGATCTGCGGAGTCAGAGACAGTCAATTAGGCACTTGTATTTTGTGTTGTTATCGTAGTCCCTGTAATTAAAATCTTGAAAATTTTATGAATATGATTGAAACATTACTAGAACAGCTATTTGATAAGAAATGCTCTGGACTGTTTTTTTTTGTGTTTCATGCAAGAAATGCTGCATGCGGTGCGGCGGTGTAATGCAGATATCTTGCATGAAACACAAAAAAAAACAGACTTAATTCACTGTCTAGCTATATCTTTTTATACATAATGACACGCTTTCCTCAGTAGACAGAATCTTAACCAACCTCGAAAACTACGATATATTAAATGTTTAGTTGACCATAACAGCTTGGCTAACGGTCATGCAGGATTAATATGTAAAAATAAAAATAAGTTTAAAGAATTATGTCTAACCAACGACTTAAATGCTATGGGTCCCAATACATTAACTATGAAATTCAACCAATATTTCTGTGACAGTTTTAAAAAGAAAAAATATAAAATATACTCTAAACACGAGGACAGTCTAAGGTGGATTTCAAAAGGTATTAAAGATGAGACGTTCTCTTTGCGTAAGAAGCAACAGAAACAAATAGATTAATATATGTAGGAGAGTTATTAAGAATGCGTTAAAATTGGCAATACAGTCGGCACTAGCTAAATCAGACAATATTTCTAAAGATATTTAGAGCATAGTTAATTAACATAAAAATATTCTTTACTTAATGGTAATGACATTACCTCGGATCTTTCTGACATTGTCAATTTATTTGCCGCTACCTTTAATAATGATCTTAGTTTTGGTAAGCGTAACTATGAAACAGCTCAAAAGACTCTCGAGGAAAATACTAACAGGATAGAGAGGGCAATGAGCATGCAAAAGGTCAGTCCGAGGAAGGTTTACGATTAACTGAAAAGCAAGCGGTCAATAATAGGAGAGAATGTAGATATTTTAGCAAATCCTGCACAACAAATGTATCCAGGATTGTATCTTTCCAGACCAATTTAAAATAGCCAAAATAATTCCTGCACACAAAAAAGGCCCATGTAAGATCCAAATATGTATAGACTACCTTGCTACCAACTAAATCTAAAATATTTGAATTAATATTAAAAAGTAGGTTACTTAGGTATTTGAGTTTAAACTATATTTGAAATCGCAGGCAGTAAAGTTATTTGAGGAAAGTATTAATACTGGACGCTGTTGATACAC